GCGAGGGGGGACGAGGGCTGAGCGGCATCGAGCGCCGGCCCTGAGGGGCCTTCCCCCGGCGGAGCGGGAGTCGGCGCCGGCCTCGAAGCGTGGGGGGAATCGCCTGACCGACTGACCGATAAATGCAGCCCTGATCGGTTTTTTCCAATTCACCTTTGGGAAAGCGCCGATATAAGCGACAGCGAGGTGTAATCTAGCGTTTGGAGGTCGTTCTGGAGAGTGCCCCCGGGCTGTCAGCCCTGTCAGGGCGGTAAAGCAAATAACGCGGGAGGGAAACGGCTCGAGAACAAAAAGGAATCGTAAGGAGAGGCTAAATAGATCCTTGCTCTTAAGGAGGGCGTGGGTGGGCATCTATAAGATCATGGACGAACTGAAAAAAAAATCATAGAATCGTTTAGGTTGGAAAAGACCTTTAAGATCATCCAGTCCAACCAATGATGGAGAGATTCTTCGCGTTCACAGTGCGGAACTGAGAGGACTTCATTATCGAGTGTAAGAATAAAGAGAGATGCTTTTTCATAAACGGAATAACAAAGCATTTCAGCTCGCTGCCATACGCTGACAGGCCACAGACATGTGCGTAAGTTCAAAGAAGGATTAGAGAACGACTGCTGAGCACGGCGAACTCCAGAGTAAGGGACCTGCCAACAGCAGGCTCCTGGCAGACGAAAGGAGGCTTTCTGTAGCCACGCTCTGTTCTTTCGCTCTTCTCCGGACACCTGCACGCACGGCCATCTTTTATGTCACTTTATGGTGCTTAGGGCACCAGTTCAGATCCAGCGCAGGGGGTCTTAAGTGCAAAGCATTCCGGCTGCTGGCCAGGAGCCGCCGTGGAGATGCCTGCCTGGAAGCCGCATCTTGGTTTTGTTGCCTCAGAGTTGCAGGCCCTGAAAGCCAAGGCCTCTCCAGCTACCTTTTTGACTGGTACTAATGTAAGCCTGCTACGTTTTTGGTGAGAGGAATTACTCTGCAAAAATAAAACAAGAAATTAATGAAGTTCGTTTCAGCAAATCAGCTTTTACGTACAAGCACAATGTCATTCTAGGAAACTTCTCTGGCTCTTATTTGTTATACTCTCACATTTAATGGTGTCTTCCAAATTGTGTGCTTTTTCCTTTTCTCCTGTTTAAGCAAACAGAAATTTAATGAGGGGGAAAAAAAAAAACCTCTCTTGGTTAAATTTTCTCATCGTGCTTTCTTGCCCTGCCTGAACATCATCATTGAGCAAACTGATATTTCTGAAAAAAGATTGTTCCTTTTCCTTCCCCCCATAATTCAAACTCTGCTCTGCCTTGTGAGCAACATCCCAATAATAAGCAATAGCATTTTATGTGATTTAGCATTTTGCTAAATCTAGAGGCTTCTTTTTCCTACATAAGGCTTTGTTTTAGCTTGGAAAATAAGAGTTTGTGGTAAAAATCACCTACGATGAGGTAACTGGCTTGGTGGACAAGGGGAGGGCACTGGATGTCGCTTATCGGAGGGAAATCACTGATGTGTGTGAATAGTATTAATTTTCTCTTCCTAGCTAGAAAAAAAAGGGTTCGGTGGATTTAATATAATTAGGAATTTTTGTTTCCCATTAAATTTTTTGGTGATTTCCATCTTAAGTATGATAATGACGGGAAGGTTTAAAGACGATGGAGCCAGGCTCTTCTTGGTTGTATCTAGTGAAGCCTGTGATTCTGTGAAATGCGAAAGCTGAGCAGTTCTGCGCGCATCTCTCTATTTCTAATCGTGAAACTTAATTGTAAGTTTTACAAATCGCTTAATCCTTGCTTAGGTGAGGGTTTCTCTTACAACATTGCTTGCTGAGGTTTAGCAAGGGGAGAATAAAGGAACGTGATAAATGCTGTCAGATTGCTTACAGCTCTCCTGTAAGTACACTTTGCGTAGTTATTGATGGAGGGATGCGTGTAGATAAAGATCATCGCTGAAATCTAGGAAATAGCACAGAGGATTGCATGTATTGATCTCACAGTGCTGATGCTGTGGTACCTTTTTTTGGTGGTCTTTGTCAGGTCCATGGGAGACTGAAGTTATGAGGAATATTAACCTGGTATTTAAAGCCCTGAATTTTGTTGTGGTTTACAAGAAATGTTAGGCAATATTAAGTCTGTGTTAGCACTGGCATCCTGTCGGTGTGTGTTAATTTTATCCCCTTACACAAGTTTTGATAACCGTTGTAGTTTTCTGTGCTAGTGGGAGTTATTTGCATTGACATATGATACTCTTGGGGTGAGGGAAGTATTGACTGAAAAATTGTCTTGTGTGTCAGAGCAAGCTAGCAAACTTTGTATTGTATAAGGTTTGATCACATGTATCTCCAACAGTTACCAGAATCTTAACTTTAAATAAAAGGACACCTAACCAGTAAGACTTAAGCTGTTAGCACAGTTGTTTTATAATATGATATAAAACAAGAAAATGTGGGTTTGAGAGGCCTATTACACTTTGGTGCCTTTCTGTGACTAGAGAAAGATGGAGAGAAAAATTACAGCATCTCAGGCTAGTATCTAGTTGTGGTTTTACACAATTTTCTTACTGAGGTTCGTTAATGTTTTTGGATTTCAGTACTGTATGTTATAGGAAAAGTGCATCCTTCAGAAATGGACAAGATCTATGCAGACCCTAACATGGAAAAGTAAGTTGAAACCTTGTAAGAATTTTATTGTGGTATAAATATTGTCGTTTAGAGGCCAAACTTTTCTTAATCCCTGTGTGCACTTCAGCATCTCCTGAATGAAATGTGTTTTCCATTGTGAAGAAGAACAGGGAGTTTCTTTGATCGTGTGTAGGAAAGCTCTGAGGAAACTTCATAGCAGTGGATTGTCTGGAGACTAACTGACTACGGGGGTTGGAGGGCAATCTGCTGAATTTTCCAAAGCTTATTTTTGGGAACTAGTGCTAGAACGAATTATCTGTTCCAAGCACTTGTTTCACACTTGTAAACATAATGGAGAAATCAATTTATTAACCTTAAAAACGTGGCAGTACTGTTCAAGACATACACCTTGGTTCCAGTTTATGTCCTAATACCCATTTCCCTTTTTTCCCCTCCAGTGATAACACAGAGCACATCAGAGGGAAGCGACTGTCCTCTGTGAGTAACTTAAGGCGTTTCTCAAAAGAAAACTGTGTGAGTGAAGGAAAGAAAGGGAAGCTGTAAAGAGGAACTTGTTTTCTCATCACAGTTGAAGAAAAGCAAAGAGCCTGTTAGATTGATATGACTGACTGGGGCACTGGTGGCTCTTATAAACTCTCTCCAGCCAAGTGATCCGTTCTTGTAGATGGAGCTGATCTTAACTATTACATTTTCTTTTAGATTTTAAAGGCTCCGCGAAATCCTCTTGATGATCTGGGACATGGGAATGAATTGACGCAGGTAGGTCTATTAAATCCTTCCTTGCTGATGCTCTTAACATCTTCGGTTTGCTCTTCAACTTGTCGCTGATTAAACTGTGTCACTAGAATAATGCAGGTGTAAAAACTCTTGTAATAACTGCTTAGGAGGATAATGTTTGGAGTACTAAATATTATAAGAAATCCATCGAGTTTTTCTGATACTTTTATTTTATGTCAGAATGTTTCTTTTAACGTTTAACATTTCTGTAACCATTTAAACATTTCTATAAGAGAAGGGTGACTTTGATTCTTTCATGAATCCTTCCCTTTCTCCCATAAAGACAAACTATTATTAGTATTTTTTTTTTCAGTTCTTGTAATGGAAAACTAAAGAAAAAAACCTGCAACTCTCTTGCTAAGCAACTACTTCTATTTTCCCTAGTATGCCAGACAACATGCCAGACAAAAAAAAACTTATAACTGGTATTCGGCTCCTTGTGTCTGAAACCAGGCAGTTCTCACAAAGTGATCTTTAGATCCTACTTCTTATGAGATAGGTGTCTTTATGTCAGGAGAAGTTGGAGAGCTATAAAGTAGTTTAAGGATGTCGGTAAATATCTGTTGTACTTAATGGGCTCCTAGATTATTATTTTGAGGGGGTGTGGGTTTTTGTTTGGTTTTGTGTTTCATGAAAAGCTATGCTTATGGGAGAAGAACAGTTCTCTGTATATCAGTGTTATGTTCTTTATTGTCAGGATATCAACATAGAAAAACGTAGGAAAAACTCTCGCCGTGTCAGCTTTGCGAACACCATAAAGTAAGTTTAATCTGCAGAATGCAGATCCTACACCCTCTATTTAAGCATAAAATGCAGGCTATCGGTAATAATCTGGTATTCCCTAAAATTGCTGTTTGCGTACATTTGTGAGTATTCAGTGAAGGCAAACTGGTGACTGCTGTTATATTGAGGTGGTTTGGAGCCCTAAGAGAGCCATTATTCATTTTCTCTTCCTAACTAGAAAAAAAATGGTTCAGTGAATTTAATATAATTAAGAATTTTTGTTTCCCATTAAATTTTTTTGTGATTTCCATCTTGAGTATGATAATGGCATCTTCCCGATGGAAAATATGGTGGGGTTCAGTAAGCTTTTGATATCTCATTTCAGAATATACCATGTGGAGAAGATGGGAATTAGGGCTGATTTTTTTTTTTTTTTTTCTTTTCTCTTTTGCTTCAAAAGAGATGGTCTTGTGTTTTTCAAAAACTGGGTTGTTTTGTTTGTTTGTTTTCTTAGCTGCAGAGTCTTCCAGCCAGATCTTAAGAATAACACAGCAGAGAGAGAAAGTACAGGTAAAACCCCCTTCTCTCCTCCTGATAGGATTCGCAGACTATTAGCAACAACATTTTAGCCTAAATTTAAGACGTCAGTCCCGTCAGTCACAGGTAAGGAACAATATGGTCAGCTGTTTATCATGGACTGGCTGAAAACCCATTAGTTAGTGGTATTGTGGACCTTGTAGCTCAGAAAAGGAATTATTTTCTTAGACAAAACGCACCTAGAACAAACTGCCTTGGGGATTTAGATCAAAAGAAGGCTGAGCAGAATGTCATATTCACTCTGTCAAAGATTACCTAGGAAGAATCTGAAAAGCGAATGCATTTTCAAGTACTTCGCTTCTCTGGGTTTTTGCCACGATAAGAAGGCACATAAAGAGTAAGAACTTCAGAACATTCTTTTCTGTGCAGTTTATTCTTGTCTCCAAATGTTTTGATCATGCTTCTCGCATTGTAATGTCTAATTCTCAAACTATTTTTAGAGTGTGCAGCAGATACGAGGAATGATGTCCTGCTTAATCAGTAAGTTTGAAAAAAATTCCCACGATATATATAGAATTCTGTCCTGCAAATACATTTCTTCACATGACGTGCAACCATCAAAATATTACTCCTCAAAGAAATGCAGCATACGTTATTTATTTGGATATAAAATTGCTCAGTGCTTTTGATTGGTGAAAGAAGGGATACAGAAAAAAAACCAATATAGCTGTGTTGGTCACTCACAAAAAGATAGCGGTTTCTGAAAAATTGAACAATTATGGCTTGAAACTGCTTCCTTCCAAAGCTGATTACTTGGGAATGTTTTCCAGGAAAGACCTACCAGACTCCATATCTGACAGACATAGTCTTTGATATTTATTACTATAACTTTTCCCTCAGAGGCAGATGAAGTGTTAGTCTGACCTCAAAGTTCTTGCCTAGATAAAACACAACGATGGGATTTTTAAAATTAAAATGACCTGGTAAGTAAAACAACAGATTTAGACAGTTTCTATGTGTGAAGGGGAATTTCTTACATTTAAAATGTATAGCAAGGAAACAGCTTATGTACAACTGTAGTTAACTCATGCTTTTAAAGGTATCAACCCAATATAGTAACATATATATGTGTGTGTGTGCACATATATATAAAAAAGTAAAAATCAGTATTCTAGCCTAAGGTTTCTTGGTCTTGAAAGAGCAATCAATAAAACAGCGGAGAGCAGAAGGCATTAGAAGTTAGATGGAAAACCACACAAGCTGGTCATTGTATCTGGCTTTTTGTTTTACAGAGATATGATTTCAGGCTTTGGGAACACAGCTTCAGTTTCCCAAAGAGAAAGGAATAACTACAAGTGGAAGGTCTGAGTTAAAAAAAAAAGAGAAAAGATTAATTCTTTATTTTTACTTGTCACTGAGGAATTAAAATGCCATCTGTATGTTGAACAATGGCTTGTGGCATGCTAAGATGAGACAATCTCATGGGAAAATAAGATTGCAACTCAAATTAGAATATATTGAAGGCATATAAGTAGGGTCTGGTGTCTGCGTCCCAGTCCGGTAGGAGTATGCAACAGAATTCTCTGCCTTTTCAGTATATTGCTGAAGCCTTCTGTTTTGAAATCTTTTAACAAACTGTTTACCTAACCCACCTTTTGTAGAAATGAAGAACCTGAAGCTGTTCCATGTGAGATCACTGGTGAGTTTGGAAATAGATTTAATAACAAAATTACTATCTTTATTCAAAATTACTATCTTTATTCAAAACTATTTATTCTGTTTCAATGATTTTAACATGCCTAGAACAATCTCCCTGACAGAGACGACTATTGCATGAACAGGCTTTATCCCATAAAGCTGTTTACATGCTGAAGGGAGTACTGAAAAGATTTTTCAGGATATATTTGGGTTTAATTGTACTTACTTACTCAGTGGTATTTGTAAAACGAGTGCATAGATCTTCAGCTCAGTGGATAAAATAGTAAGAAAATAGCGCAACAAATGGAGTATTTCCTTTTCTTTCAACAGGGATGAACACTTTGCTTCATGCCCCTATCCAGGCATTGGTGCAGCAGACTGAGGTATCTGAAGGCTTTTATTTTCTTGGTGCTGAAAATATCAGCATCCAAAATATATTCCAATAAGTTGTGTAGTAAAGATGAAAAATGTAACTCAACTGCCTAAACAAGAAATCCTTGTATTCACATCAGATTCTTCTGAAAGCTAATCTTCTATATTTTGAAGTATTTTCCTAATCTGATAGGGATTATACTGCAGTGTTGATAACTCTGGCTTCTAAAATTGCTTGCTAATTTTTCAGTACCTGAGCCAGTTCCTCCGTTCTTTTCAATTCTTATCTAAGAATATGCAAAGGAGCTTATGTTTCACATAGGTCTGGTTATGTGTTTTTTCTCATGTATTACGCTCTGCTTGTGGGTTTTTTTTTTTTTCTTCTATGGGTAGAGTGGATATGCACAAATGTACTCTCTGCTCCTGCTGTTCAAAAGCTTTAGACAAATTGCAAAGATTAGTATGAAAAGGTAGCTGAATTTCTTCAGCTGAATCAAGTAATAACACACAGAATTCTTAACCAAGACCTTCAGAGGCACAATTGCACAGAAATCCTGAACTGTGTTACACTTTTGTGATGACGTTATGGCACTGTGGTGTTAAACAAAGCGGTTGTCAAAACAGTCTCCCTTACTGCAATGGCTTCTGACTTTTATGTTGAGTTTAAAGATATGACTTAAAAACATACGCTAGCTCTTGTTAATGTTAAAAACCAAACAAAAAAAACCCAGTTAAAATCTAGTATGGATGAGATGGATACCAGGAGGCTGTAAAGGTCAGACTGAAACTCTGTCTCTCCTTGTTTTGGGTAACGTATATGGTTGTGCTGCTTCTAGTATATTTTATTTCTTGCACTTATAAAATAGCATATGTAATTTGAAGTAAACATGAAGCTGTTCTTAATCAATACATTCATTATATTTAATAGAATATAGTATTATATCTTGTTACTGGCCAGTTTTTTTCCTACAGCTTTAAAACTGTAAATCCTCTCTATTAAAGAGACTAAAATCTCCCGAGTCAGTGGTGGAAAAGTCTTTTAAAACTTCTAACTTGGTGCTGCTGCTTTGGGGCACTTGCGTGATAAGCTGGGCAAGGTTTTTACCGGCAGTTATGGGGGGGCAAGGTGGAAACCACACTATAGAGATATAGAAAATACTGATCCAGAAGACTCAGTAACTGTTCCATGCTTACCAAGACATGTCTAGATATGAAATCTTTGCCCAACAGCACAACTGACACACATTCTTTCAAAAAAAGCCATTTAAATATGATATGCTCTAATAATTAAGTCGTCATCCTTTCCTTGAATGTGTTATTGCTTATCAAGGAGGGCTGAAATCAGTATTTTTTTTTTTTTTTCAAAAAAAAAAAAAAAAGATGTAAAGATAGCGCTATAACCTTAGGACTTAGGTTGACTTCTAGTTGACTTTTATTTTAAATACAATAAACCATTGTATCATTTGTTTTAAGTATCAGTAACTGTAATTTCTTTTTTTTTTTTTTTATTAGTGGCATGATGCGGACAACGCCATTCAAAGAACAAATAGGCATGACACCACCCTCATCTTTTCAGATGAAAATGAAATGGATATGACGGCTAGTCACACTGCAGTGATTACACGTAACCTGAAAAACAATCAAGCTGATGAAACTGAGAAAATAGATATCACATCCTTTCTGGCTGGGTTAAACTCTAACAATGGAAAGGCAGAATTTCATTTTTTCTCTGACCCTACAAGCCATTCGTGCCCATCTTTTGAACAAAAGGAAGATGCTACTCCTGTAAAAAAAATAAATTTCAATGAATTTTTGAGGAGCTTGAAGTCAAATGAAAAGGCACCTAATCCTATTGAGGGACCTGACAAAGAGAATGTTTTTTTTGTCCCTTCACAAGTCCCAGAAGACATGGCACGATCGTCGGTGGAATTTGTACGTTCCCATGAACCACTGGACACCTGCAATGTAACAAAAGTCTTTAGAGGGCAAGATGACGGAATGGAAATGACAAAATGCCAGGCATCTGATGTTAAAGCTATGTTTTCCGGTATTTGTGAAGCTCCACCAGAGCAACTACTGTGTGCAGATGTTACTGAGGCATTTGCAGATGATGGAATGGATATGACAACTAGCCACACTGCAAAAATGTCTTTTCCCTTCTCCAGTGTCGGGAATCAAAGTCTAAACTTCAAAAAGGATTTCCCATCCACAGAGTTAGATAATTCTATATTAGAGACAGCATCTAAT